CTCTTTCTATTTGTTAGTTTTTACATTTTATTCTGGTGAGTTTTCTCTTTTTGTTGTCTGTTGAAAATTCATGAAATAGTCATATATATACTAGACACTGTATGGTAATTTGTTTTTCAACCACCTTTCATGTATAGTCTAAATTTGATTCCAGTTCTCAAAGAGTGTGTGTTTGCAAGTATTAGATTTATATGTTCCTTTCTTTTTGTATTTAGTTGTGCACCTGTTTCTAAACATGGTTCATTTTATATCTGCGTGTTTATAGTTGCACCTCTGTGTCATTAGGTTTCTCCATTTCTATGTATGAAATTACCCTAACTGGCATTGCTACCATCTTTGTTAATTTATTGTCTTTTGTAAGTGTTTTTACCTGAATCCTTCCCTATCTACACCTGGCCTACCTTACAATGTGTTCACAGCTTCTACGATTACTTAATGTTTTGCACTCAGCCACACTTATCCTAGCCGCGCCCCCTACCCCAGGCTTCTCCTTGCTTTTACAACAACCATTTTATTTGCTGCGTAACCTTGTCTTTATGCTTTCATTCTCTTGCCCTGACAAAGCTTATGTACATATTTACCTACTCACACATCAAGGCCAACAACAGTGGGTTTCATTATGCTCATTTTATTGCTCATTCTTAGTAGAAACATTTGCTGTCTCTTTTTGGACGTTTGTGTTGGTTTAAAGGCTTGAAATAGCAGGAAATAAAATTGCCGACATTTAAAACAACCCAAATGTTATATATATATATATATATATATATATATATATATATATATATATGTGTGTGTGTGTGTGTATTGGGACAAGCCTCTCATATTAATGCAAACCTATTAGCCACAAATAGTGACTTCTACAGCACTTAAGAAGCAGAAGTTGCAATAAAGTGAAGTAGTGTTCAGTTTGGTTTGTAATTCAGTGGGACATCATTTAAGAATGTTATGTCTACTCTTAAAACTTTGGTTTCTATTAAAGGTCTTAAGATAGGAGAAAACAATTTTAATGTGAGTCTTATATAGTTAATTATGTGTTTATTTTGTCAATATTGTATTTTAAACCAGTTATCCTTTTTGGTTGGTTTGTAGCAAAAAATAAATAAAAATAAAAAATCTAAAAAAGCAGTTAAACAACTAGCTTATAATAGTGACCTGATCAATCAACTAAGGACAATCTAATTTTAAACTAAATTTTAAAATACTAAGTTCTTTGTGTTGCTTTGGGAAAAGTATTTGATTCTTCTTGCCATATTTGATCTTTACAAGAATCAAATCAGATTAAAAATGGAATATTGCTGCCATTTCTTGGACAGAGTTGCTCAATCCTCACTTTGATGGAGTTCAAAAACCGTTTATGTGACTTGGTGGGCAATTAACTTTTTCAACCCTACAGACCCTTTTTTACTGAAATGTCTCAAGCCTGTCACTACTCTGTCACTATTTCCATGGCAAATATCCAGATGTGGTTTATTCCTTAGTTTCACCTGTTCTGACCTTTACAGCTAGAACCAGCTATACCACATACACAGGGTTGAGTCATCATCATTCTCTTTGTATTCTATTGAGAAGAAGGAAGTTCCACTCACAGTTTCTTCCCAGGAACTTCTACTTTGTGGAAAAGATTCCTGAAAGGATACTTTTACAATCACTACAATCTTATCAAGTCTAGGGTCAATCTTTATATATCCTACATGTCCTTATAATCTGCATGTACTTCCTCCTCATACACTCTTCGAACAACTTCAGTCAGTAACCCTCTACCATGTTTGGCTTTTGGGCCTTGTATTGAGTGAACATTTAATAAACAAAACCCACAAAAACATAATTTTTTATTCATTCAGAGTTATGGCTATGATCTCCTTGGGTGCTAAATTAACAATAATATTATTCGTTAGTCTTAGCAAAAACTAATAATTGATAAACCATTATTAATTTAGCACTGAGAAAGATACCTCCATATTTTATATTAGAAAAATTGTCCTTGGATAAATGGAAATGATGTTTGAGAATCTATTGATATGGCAAGCAGAAAAGAAGAAACTGACAGTAATTTGTTAGGATTTTAAGTAAAGTTAATTTGAAGAATGATGACTTAATTTCAAAGAAGAATTTTGAAAACTCACATTGAAAATGCATGCAAAATCATGTTAATCTTTTCTAAACTTCTTAACTGTCCATACAATATGTAAATGAAGATAATATACATAAATTTACATTTACAATAGGCACACTTAGAGATAAACAAAATTATGTAAGTTACAATAGAATAAATTGTTGCTAGTTTCAAAGAAACAGAGACTAACACTTGAGAAAAATAGATCATAAGCTCTGAAAAAGAATAACAATAATAAAGTTCTTGCTGAATGTTTATTAAAGAATTATGCTAAAGCAAACACGTACTTATATTAGAAAACTAGATTGTTATGTTACTCTGTGTCTAACTCATAAATTCTTCAAAACAAAACTCTAATGAATTATTCTTTTCAAAAGGCCAAATAGGTAATATGAGGTGTTCAGGGTGGGTGGCAAAAATGGTAGAATGACAGGTGTACCTTCTGACATTTCCTTGATTTAAGGTCTGAGATTTCACTTTAGCTTTCTCAAAATCTATTGGCCATTCACTTCTGTTGGTGGGCCCCAGCATGTTATGTCTGAGGCCATAATTTGGGATGAGAGGGATCCAACACCTCACCTGACCTGATACTTTATCAGCCAACTTCTGTGTTGTGGGTGGTGTTGAGACTCAGTGGACAGTATCTAGTACCTGCCAAGTAATAGATCAGGTGACTGTTTTGTGTCTGTCTTGAAAGTGAGATAGGTCTGTGTATATTAGATTGCAGTCTACAGCATTTTTATGTCTTCTTAGTTTTATTGACCGGTTTCATTGCCCATATTTCTTAGCTGTGCCTCCTGGAACAACAAAAAAAAAAAACAAACAAACAAAAACCCAGCATAGACAGCAATGAAAAATCTTTCACTAGTGTAACTATAGAGTATCATCTATTAATGATGACACAACTGAAAAATGACTTCTCCAGTGGACCATAACTGGTTTACTGCTAAATCTTTCTCATCTTGCAGCATCATTTCACTAGGACAATGGATTTTCAAACATGCCCACTCCTTAATATGTCATCAATTTTCAGTTGTAAAAAAACCAAAAAAAAAACCCCAAAAAACTCTGCACAAGATGTTATCTACAAATAATAAATTTGCTTTAAGGTTCATTTTTCTAAGCCAACATATCTTGGGTTGTTCCAGTAATAGACTAATGATTATCAAGTAATCTTATTTAACTGACCTATGACACAAAAGTAGAATTTACAAGCATTAACAAAGATATATATATATGCTGCTAGTGTTTGTATGCCATGTGACTTACTGATGCATAATGTTTTCATATATCCAATCATAAACAAAGTATTAAATTTAGTATTTCTTTTTGGAATTTGATATTTGAAAATGAGTAGAGAGCTCTCTTGTTGAAAGATGTCAGCACAACAGAAATGAGATGTGATTTAATTCACTCTATTTAAAGCATTAAACACTTCAAAATTATTAAAAACCAATAGCATAGTCAGTTGTTAATATTGATTTTGATTCTGTTATTTTATATTTTTTGTATATAAAAACAAAGAAAAAAAAAAGAAGCAGTTTGTGAATAACAAAAACCTAAAAGTCCTACACATTGATTTTTTTTTCTTTCTCCACTGTTTATCTGCTCATTCTCTGGATATAATTCCATGTGAATTTCTGTCCAATTTATACATATATATTTTAAGTTTTAGATTAAAAAAATCTATTTCTGTTTGTCATTTGAGTTCAGCATCCACTTTACCTGCTTTTTTACTTTTTCTCTCTTGGTTGACTAAATACAGTTCAGCAAAGGATTTGAGAAATTTGCCAAGCAGATTTGTTAGATTAAGAAAATAAACTCTTTCAGGATTTGTCTGAATATTAAAAAAAGGTATAATAATATTGCCTTGAAACTTTTCTCCATTTAAATTGAAAACATTTATTATTGACTCACTATTTTTGATTGCTAATTGTGGTTTCATTGTAATGGCTACAAAAGAAAACTTTGCATACAGTAATATAGAAATGCCAAATATACTATTCATAACCTGTTGTCTCCACTTATATTTCCAATGTATTTGAATTTGTTTAAAATTCAATCATGGATAGCTAAAGTTTTAGAATTTGAGTCTCATAAATATTACCAGTTAATATTTTTCATTTTTTACTAATCTTCCCAAAGTTTTTTTTCCAATATTTTTAATTAACTAATTCATTTAATTATTTCCATTATAAATTCTTTGTTCATGTTTTTACTTTCTTTACATTTCACTACCCTATGTAAATGTATAAGACTTCTTGATATCAACTCTCCTTTGTATTTTTATAAGGTTAAAATATATATATATATATATATAATCATATATATATAATATAAAAGCAGTGTGGACTGAGGTATCAACACTTGATGGTGACAGATTTTTTTCCTGTTTAAATGCAGTCGTTAGGCCAACAATTACATTATTAGCCAGGTTACTGGAACTTCAAGAACTATTATTTTGTAATTCAAAAATTATAATTATAGAATGTGTACAAAATTTACAAGGCCTAGTTTAAAGCTTCAAACTGGTAACATGGTTATTTATTTAAGATTTTAAAATTCAGAACATCTTACACAAATAGTTTGTTTACATATGCAGATTTTCATTCTAACTGTACAGATGCCATCATTCAACAAATAAAACTTTAGATTGATTAACTGTGTTTTTATGGCTTATCAACCTTTTGCAAGTTATTTAAAGCCGGAAAATATTTTTCTGTTGTAAGAAGTTTTTGGAGATAATTTATTGATACTATTTAACTAAAGAGCAAAGAGGTGGATTCATACCTTTCTCAAGGGTATTTGTGCTCAATTGACTATAATGAACTGGACTAAAATTGGAAAATTCTGAACTGTTATATATTACACCACCCACATATCCAAGCTTACAGTACCTGGTATTCCCAAGCAGTTACCCATCTTAGTTACTGATCAGGCTTGACACTACTTCACTTCAGTGATCAGATGAGAATTGGTGTTTCAATGTGACATGGCAGTAAATCAATATAACTTTAGAATCAATATATATATATATATATATATATATATATATATATAAATCGATAAAAAAGTGAAGTGGCAAACATTATGAGATGTAGTGTAAATGTATGTGTGTATGTATGTATGATCTTTATTTTGTGAGAATTCATTGAAAACTCTTCATTCTTTAACCTCATTCTTGATTGAACAATTTTGTAAAAATTCTACATCTCAAATTGATTGAAACACAATACCTTTTTTTCTAAAACCCAAACCATACAAACGTATTTTTACTCTTCATTCCATTCTTAAAGCTTTTCTCCATTTCAAATGTTTTTCATACTTCCTTCTAAATTGTGCTTTAGTCAAATTCCAGGAGTCAAGGTTTTCCTGAAAATTTTGTAACAGAAGAAATGCTGCATGGTTTTTATTTATTTATTTATTGTGGCAGAAGATTATGCATGTGTGTGGCTCTTAAACAAAGAACACCACCATTAAACCAAACAAAAATCCTAACCCTACTCTTTCCCTGGTGACAACTGGTAACCCTGCACATGTTATTGTTTAACTACTTTGTCCCCTACTTACCCATGTCTCACTGTAACCCAGTCCCTCGCCTATCTTCAGTATGGAGTGATTCCATTATGAGCAAGTCAGATATCAAAGAAGTGGCAGGAGTAGGTTTCAAATTGGCCCCTAAGTTCAGTGGTCGACCATAAGTCTTTCTCTGAACAACCCTGCTAACCTTGCTGAAAGTTAGATGCCCTACTCTTTTTTCCATCTGCTTTTGTTTGTCACCTCCTCTGGTGCTGTCAGTCTGGAGCACCCACCTTGAGAGAGAGGGAGAAAGGTGTTGGCTGGTCAGGTGAGCCCACCTATGAAAGGGAAGGCCCAGTAGATGTGATTGTTGCGGCTAACATGAACATTAGCCTGTCACCATATTGACATCAATCAACAGAAGGAAGTTCTTCAGTGTCGATAAAAATTCCTACTTCTGGTTGCTATTGTCACAGTGCAACACACACCAACATGACTTATGCCCCCATCACAAACGCACACACACATACAGTATTTATTCTTTTACAACCATTTTTAACTTATATACTTTCAGTGTCTCATCTATGCAATACGTTTTTTATGTGTGTAAAGCACTGATGTTGTGGATCTTTTCTCTAAAGACATTGGTAAATTATATTTTATAAATATGGTCAACCTATGAGCTGGTATCTAAATCTATTACTTTTCATGCTTTATTGAAGTTAGATAATGCTCTTGTAAAAATTCACGATAACTCTGTAATATTAAGTTATTATGAATTCTTTAAAATGTCCTTATATTTCAGATGATAAATGAAATTTAAAAACACTTAAAAAATAAGAGTTTAAGTGTTATATATATATATATATATATATATATATATATATATATGATCTTCAAGACTGAAAAATTTCTAATTTGGGTGGCCAATCTCACATTCTTATATTCTGAGTTTAATCATTTCACCACAACTAAGGGAATAAAGCCACTAAGGCATAAGGGGTTACTGAGTGTGAGAGAATGAGAAAAAGAAAAATATAGAGGAGAGAGAACAAAAAAAAAACAGGAATTAAGAAGACAGAAAATAATGATTGTATATAAATTTTTGAAGATCAAAGTTGACTTGAAACCAAGAAGTCAGAAAAGAGTTCCACAAGTGAGAAGTGCAAGAGCAGAAACTGTTAACATAGAACTTACAGTTACATTTAGCCATTTCAACTGTAAAATGATGAGACCTTGTGGCCTATCTAGTAAATGTTTAAATTCATAAAATCCAAGTACCAAAGAGGAAAGTTCATCAGAACAACTATGTAAATATTTATAGGAATGGTACAGGGAAGCCATATTATGGTAGTAGGAAAGTGACTGAAGCTGAGATGCCAGATCAGGACCAATAACCTTGCAGTATTTTCTCTAGAATCTCTAAATACATAGAAACACCAGGCCAAATGTAATAGCAATATTCAAAGCATGGATGAATTCATGTATACAAGCGCACATACAAACTGATTCATTTTATATATATATATCTATCTCACAAGGAGTGTTATAGTTTTTTACTGCATTCAGAACCACTCACAATCATTGCAAGAAAGTTCTGGAAAATGCATAGTATAGCTTTGCACAAGTGGTCCAGGCCAAGGTTGAAAACAAACAAATTAGATTCCAAGAGTTCTGGAAGATCACCAACGAAATTATAAATAGAGGCAAAGTGGCTGTGCCTACTATTATAAATGGCCCTGAGGTCATATCTTCCTTGACAGATAAAGGCAAAGCTCTTCACCTCAATCTTTGCTTCTAACTCAACATTAGAAGACACTGGACATCCCCTTTCCAACATCTCCCAGCTCATTGAGCACAATCTCGGTAGTATTTTTATTACAGTCCAGGAAGTCTCAAAACTTATCAAAAGTCTTGACCCTAAGAAAGTCACTGTCCCAGACAAAATCCCAGTGGGTTTCAGCCCAGAACTATCCCTGATCTTAGCAAAATTATTTAACCGCTGCAAAGGAGAAATTCTTCCCAAGTCTGTGGAAGGTGTCAAGTGTATGCCTAATTTTTAAGAATGCAGACTATTGCTCAGCCCCATATCAGTATAGACCCATCAGACTCTTCAGTATCATTAGCAAGCTTTTTGAGACTATAATCAACAAGGTTTTCGAGCAATTAAATGACCTCTTGAGTGACAAGCAGTATGAGTTTCAATCAGCCCGATCCACTGCTGATGTCCTAACTACCATTACTCATAGAATCAGTGAGGCACTAGACAACAAATGCATCTCAAGGATGATAGTACTAGATATTTCAAAGGACTTTGACAAGGTATGGCACAAAGTATTGCTGTTCAAGCTCTCTATGGAATCACTGGTATATAGGTGTACCTCCAAAGAATGGCAACTGATCACTCCTCTGATGTAGCTTTAAATTCTCAATATGTGTGTGTATGGGGGGAGGTGAACTGGCTGGCTATATTCAATGCCTCAAAACTAACCTAGTTACATTCCATCATCGCGATCAAACCCTGAACTACCACCAGTTACAATGAAATGAGTGACTGATAGTGGCCTCAAACTCAATACTGACCTCAAGTGGCAAGAGCCAGATCATGCCTAAAATGGTATAGTACTGTCATATATGGGCAGGAGCTGACCAGTCCTCACTTTTCAGTCTTGATAGTCCAAAAGCATTTCCAAATCCTTGTGGATGACAAACTATTTCCCATCCTATAACCCCTTACCCACAATCAAAACATTGCATGCCTCTCACTGCTCTATTGCTACTTCCATGGAAAGTGCTCAGATGAACTACATTTTTTAGTTCAACCAGTTCTAACCCTCCTGGATAGGACCCGCCATGCTACACTCATTGTAGTGAACCAGACTCATTCCCCTATATTCCATTGGTGAGAAGTAAGTTTCACTCAAGCAGCTTTTTCCTGTGTAACACTGCTCTGGAACACTACACTCTTAATCTCTTCAAGTCATAATCCTCACTTAGTTCTTATTCATATCACCCACTTCATTCACTAATCCTCTACCTCGAGTGGCTCTTATGCTTTATATTGGATGAACTTTAGTAAAAAAGCAAAAAAAATATCAGTCATTATTGTTTCATTTAAAGGTGAAACTTTCAAATTCTTAAAGGTTTGCCAAGTTTTATCTTTTGAAGTGTACAATATTTATCATAAGCTTTTTGATTAAAATATGTTAACTTCTTTTACATAATGTTATTAAATAAGCCTTTTATTGCAATGTCTGAAATTCTCTGTCAGTAAGTTTATACTGATTTAAAATATCTGATGTAATGAACAATTACAACTGTATATTATTTTATCTACATGAATTAGAAAAAGAATAATTGCAATAAGAAGCTCTGAGAAACTTGATAATTCTAATTGATCTAAAAAGCTTTTTCTTTCATGATAATATTTTTTTAGCTGTCTATTAATTAAAATTGCGAAGAATTATGTGCCATTATAACATTCATATTAATTATAAAACAAATTTCAATACTTGTTCAAAGAAAATGAAGTAGACAAATTTAAAAAGAAAAGGAGGAATTTATTAATTGACTAGATTAGTAGTATGCAGACAGTGTAATTATTGTAGACACATGAAGTCAATTCATTAAGCCAGGTTCAAATTTTGGCTTAGTTTGTTATGTTCACCTTATACTAATGCACTTGGGAAATGCATGAATCCTCTTTTCATGCTCTGGTTTCAATATCAAAGTGGACTTTGGTGGCAGCCAACATAGGAGAACTATTCTGAATTCAATATTCTCAAGAAGGCAATGGGAAATCATTTCCCTATCTTTCTCAAAAAAGTCATGGCAATTAACACATACTAAAGGAAACTGGGGGGAGCTTTGGTTGCTTACATCCTGAAAGGACATTGCATTAAAAAGAAGTACAGAATAACTCCTACAGTAAATACTATTTATATATCACCTTTTCCTTTAGAGACTAACACATGTTTTTCTCCTTTTACTCATTTACACATATCTAATCTTTCTTACACTTCAAATATGTTTAAATCTTCAGGTGAAAAGCCAAGTGTGACGAGTTAGAAGTACATCTCCCTTCCTTCCCAAAGCAAAAACTGTCATGTTTTGTTACCCTGTGACCCAAGCCCTGCAAACAAACCATCTGATGCTCATGTAACTGGATACAAAGCCAGAACTAACATAATAAGCTAGCCAAGAAAACACATGTCTCCTATTGTGCAACTCTACAGCTAGGGTTTATCCAGGAAAATACAAGAGTAGTCATAAAACCCTTTATTATGACTCCTCAATGATAAAAGCAATGTTATTAGGAAGGGATATTAGGGAGATGAGATGCTGGCAACAGTGAATGAAAGCCTCTGATCAAAAAATGGTATTGAGACAATCTTATGCTGATTTGGACAGGGGAACATTGTAGTTCACTTTTCAATCTTACATTTTCTTAAAATTATTTTTTTTAACAGTAGCAGAT